AACTCCACCTGCAGCTTGTGCACTTCAGTGCCATGTGCCCTTTGCACCCTAGGCCAGTGCAGCACCTGAGCCAGTAGAGGGAAGCTGAACCCCTGCCCAAGGCAGCATTTAGAATCTATACATGAAAAATACTGGCAAAAACATGTACATGTACATGCATATGCATATTGTATATACATGTGTATTATTTGCCAACTATGAAGACAAGGTGTCACCATATTACTCTCCAGTGCAGGCATTGCTGGGGAGAGGAGCCTCCATACAGTCCCTGGCATGAATTTATAACTGATAGCATGTATCTGCTCAGAGAGCGCATAGCTGCCTTTTACACTGTTCCAGCCAATTAAAGATCAATAACTGGTCTAGTGCTGTTACTGCTTCATGGAGAAACGGGCTGGGAATCGGCAAGGGAAACCTTGCTGTTTCCCATTACCATAACTTGATGTTTTTCCTTAGTGTTGTCGCTTTGTCTTTTAACAGGCAAACACCCATCTGAGCTGTTGATTGGGTGGGCCCTTTGGGGGGACAGGGATGATTGTTGGAAGGAAAGGGGAGCAAGTTACTTGCTAAAGTAAATGAATTGTCACTGGAGATTCAGAGACATTTAACTAGTATCTCCTGTATAGGAAGGCAAAATGCCTCCCAAACTGAAGGGCCTACCTTCTGTGTTGGTGTCATCTGACCCTCACCACCAGAGGATGGGCAAGTTCCATTATCATCATGAATGTGAGGGGTTGTCCCTCCCCTAGGAGTTGAGACCTGAGACCCGAGTTCCTTGCCTAAAGTTCCACACTAAATCAGTGGCAGAGGAAGCAACTCAGCCCAGCACTCCTGGATACCAGCCTGATGCCCTTTCCATCCTTTCTCCCTAGTAAAGGTCATGATTCTGATCTCCCTGTTTCACTGGGCAGTAGTGATTTCATTTCTGGTCCCACTGAAATCAGTGGAACAAGCCAGCATGAATAAGGGCATTAACACTGACCAGCAAAGGGTTAGGGGCATAACAAGCTACCAGTCACTGTTAGAGAAATGTCCAGCTCAACAAACCCCTCAGCTCCTTTGCACTCCTCTCTTCAAGTGGATCAAAACAGTAGTTTGATGTGCTGAGTTCAGAGAGCAGCAGCTGGTACAAGGCTATGCAGGCACATGAATGTTTATAGCCCCTGCTAGCCTGGGAACCTGACTGGGAACCCCAATCCCCCTCTAGCTAAGGAGTAGTACAGCACAGAGCCCCCAGAAACCTGCTGGAGGACGGCTCAAAACAGCATCTCGGCCGTTCTGCCTGTTTGCCTACTCATGGGGCTCTCAGCACCATGGTGGTTGAGTGCATGCAGATTCCTGAGGACTCTGGCTCCCATGCACAGTCTCAGAGCTGGGTTTGATGTGCTTTCAGCCTGCCTGAACAAAATGCCATCACAGGAACACCTGGGCTCTGCCCCAGACCAGGTCTACACCACAGACTTTTGCCAGCACAGCCCTGTCCAGCAGAGGTGTGTTCCACAAACTGCATCACCGAGAACCTTCCTGCAGATATGGTTATACTGTATACAGCTTCTTTTGCTCCAAGTGGCTTGAATGTACTATACTGGCACAAGTTCATTCTTGCTATTATGAGCTGTCCAGACTAGGCTCACTTGGCCAGTAAGGTGCACTGGGAGAGATGTTCCAGCCAAGCACTCTGTGTGTGCATTTGGTCTCATTCCCAGACATGGGATGTGTGACCCATTTGCACCAGTGTAATGTTCATTGGATTCATACCCCAGTGTAAATTGCACTGGGATATAGAGCAGACAGGCCTGCAGCTCTCCCAGGAGGTTGCCATTATTCCAACTCTTTGCTGCTAGGTGACGAGAAAGCATGATAAGCTTGACATTTATACTGGGGTAAGTTACACAGGCATAGTTTTCCCTTGATATTTCTGGGTATAATTCTACACTGGATTTGAGAAAGTTATATAGATATAAGGCTGGATGCTGTGCTCCATTCCCTTTTTTTAACATAGGCATGAATATGTCATGTGTCCATGCCCTTGCACTCTCTCTCTGTCAGACACACACGCAGCCTTGCACACGTGCTCTTTCTGCCTCACCTTTTCAAATGCCTGGTAACACAACTGGAGGTCTCTCGCACATGCTTCTTGTCTTGCCAGCATGGTTGTCTCTCTCACTCATTTCTCTCAGACATGTGCTGTTTCTTTCTCACAAATACCCACAGACACATACCCTCTCTCTGGTGCTCATCTCCTTTTCTTGCTAACCTCACATCTGTAGTAAAATCACTTACCAATGTAAACTGTAACACTGGTTCTGTTTCGGCATAACATGGCTACAATGCTGGGGGAACCAAGTTTGGCCATGAGTCAGGCCTGTCCAGATTGCATTATCTTCTGGAACTTTAATCTGCTAATGAGGCTCCATTTATACTGGCTTGTGCACGTGTAGGATTTTCCTTCTGCATATCCAGCCATAGATGCTGAATTCTTAGACATTAATCCTGCCCTTTCAAGAGAGAGGGAGTTATGTTTCGTTATACCCAGTGCTGGGAGCCTTAGACCAGCCTCCAAAAACCACTATGCAAATTAATCTGCTCTGCTAAGTAATAGTGTCTTAATTCATTTTGGATTTATTTTCCATAAATTGCTAAACGGTGGTTGTTTTGGGTGACAATGCCGCATTGTGCCTGTCTGCTAAGTACACAAACGTTTGGGGTTATTTTCTTTTGTGCCCATTTTTATCAGTCCCATGCAGGCATGAGCCCATCAATATGCACTTCATTATTCACTGTTCTCTGGGAGAAAGGAGGCCGTGAATGTAAATTACATATTAGACACCAGTTAGGTTACAATGCGGGGATGTGTCCTCCCTAGGAATTTATTTTATTTTATTTTTTTTTTTACAGCAGGCAGGCAATTCATGGTATGTTTCTGAAGTCATAAATTTTGCTTGAAAGCTTCCTTTGAAAGTGACTCGGTGCGTTTAATCAGCCAAGGGTCCTTATCTCGGCCTTGCAACGTGACGGTGTTTTAGCAAAGCGATCCCTCAGTCTGAATAGATTTGCGCGCAAAGCAGTTGGATGCAAAGATGAAAAGGGAGCTCTGTCACGTGCTCACCCAAAAATAGCACCATTGTGATGGTTGCTCACACCAAGGGAGGCAAAAATTACTGAGCGTAAATGGTCACGGCGTTCAGTGTTAGCCTGGAGCCAAGTGCTGTAGTAACACTGATGCCTCCTGGAGATGTAATGGAGCATCTTTATCCCCTGTGTGACCAGTTACCCTTGTGGCTATCTCAGACAGCTGGGGCTGGTTGAGCTGTCCTGGTCCTTGGTTCAGGCAGATTTAGCTTGACTCAGGGGGCTGCTATTTATATTATGGTAGTGTCTGGGTGTTGGAGCTGAGCTCAGGGCCCTGTGGTACAAGATGTTTTGTCTACACTAACATAGAGGGCACAGCTCCAGCCCCAGAGAGCTTGTACTCTTAACTAGATGGAAGCAGAGGCACTGAGATGAGAGGTGACCCACCCAAGGTCATTCAGGAGCTCAGTAGCAGAGCTAGTGTCTTAGCCACTACTAGATCAAGCTGCCTCTGAGGCAGAGAGGGGCCAGGAATTGAGTGAAGCATGAATGCAAAACAACCCCTTTTCACCTGAGGGTGTAGGGATTGCTTTCAAAGTGACCCTGAGAAGCACAGAGTGGGAGACTCTTGCCATCCACAAATGGCTTCTTTCATAAACACTGTACCTGGATCCCCATCACCTGCGGAGGGTTCAGAACAATTTTCCCCCAGAGCGACCATAGGGCAGGTGACTGCTGAGGCAGCAAGAAGGACAATATTCCTAGGAAAGGGACGTGCCTTGAAAAGATACTGAGATTAGGGCATTCCCCCTTAAAAACAAGAGGCAGAGAGCTGGCCCAGGCATGCAAGTTGAGGCCCAGCTTCTGCCAGACGAACATTGGCCTCTCAGCATGCAACACTAGCATCTCAAGGTGTTCCCACCCAACGTCGTTCTCCCCAGAGCTCTGCTGCTGAGCACACCCCTTCTGGTGAACCAAACAAGCTTTGTCCCATGGACTGGGACAGATGCAAGACTTGGAGCATGCCTGGCTTTGAGTCTAAATGCCAAGAGAGGCATTCCTCCCCCACCTGTATCTCTGCTGTCTCTGAAGCACCCAGCCAGATGCTGAGCCTCAGGACACTTGCAGAATTGCAGCGCACAGCCATGAGGCACTCAGAAAGCAGGACATCCTGGGCCCCCCACCGGCTTCCCCTGCCAATGGCCTTTAGCAGGCTCCCCATCTAGTGCACGTGGCTTCACCGTGTGTCCTTCAGGCTGAGCATGGTGACCTCTTGGTGCCCAAACAAGTCTGATGGGAGAAGGGCATTTTAGTACTCAGCACTGATGTGGAAAGACGAGGTTGAGGTGAGATGTGATGGGCTTTCTAAATTCCTCTCAGTAGCTCCTTTCTAGAGAAGGAGTGGGTGGGGAAATGGGAACCAAAATATACAGGGCTCTGTGGTTCAGTGGGATAGAAAACAGGAGATGGCTAAAGTTGGGTGCTGCGACTTCTGGGTTCTTTTTTCAGCTCTGGAAAAGGATGGGGTATGATGGATGAAAGCAAAGAGGATTGTGAGGCAAAACTCTGAGGTCTCTTTCAGACTTTGCCACAGGCTGCTGTCTTGGGGACTTTGTGAAAATGCTGCCCCCCTCCCTCCTTCCCCTCTCACCCCCCCCACCCCTCCTGGGCTGTTCCATCTGTAGATGGGAAATAGTGATTCTCAGGAAAAGCTTGGAAAGTAGTTTAAGACTCCTCAAAGGTATCAGAGCCACAGAAGCACAAGGAATCATGCTGCTCTTCTCAGAACAGTCTCCTCTACTTGCCCCCCCTCCAGATCAGTCCTATGTGTGAGTGCATGTATACAGGTGTGTGTTTATGTTGTGCCTTCCTGCCGTGGTGCATGTGCTCTGACATGACTTCTCTCCATCAAATGTTCCCTCCTCCAGAACCAGGCAGAGGCCCATTATAAAGGCCACAAACATGCCCGGAGACTCAAAGCCATAGAAGCCATGAAGAACAAACAGAAAATAGCAACAGCAACTGCCACCACCAGCCAGGAGAAGCCAGCCGATTTCCCTGCCACCCTGGATGGGAGCGGGGATCCCAGCAGCACAGGTGAGGAGACTGCAGGCCTGCCATGGCTTTAGAGCTCAGAGAGGGGAACGCTGACCTCTGGGATTTCCAGCATCCGGGGCTTTTGGCCTTGAACTTGTACCAGCCAGTTTGCATTAGGGGAAGGATGGGGGGAGGCGGGGTGCAGGCAGAGCCAGTTGTTTCCTGTTATAATAATTCCCCTGGGATTAACAGCCCCATGAAATTCTTAATGTATCTCCATAAGGAGCAGCGCTCTGTCCAAATAGCAATTAACGTCATGCTGGCACTGGTCAAAAGCAGCATCTGCCTTGCAACTGACAGCAGTGCTAGCAAGTGGGAGGCTCAGATAGCCACAGGGACTAGGCAGAGCCTGCAGGGCCATTCTGCTCTAGGTCACTGGTTTGAGTCTCACCTATGTTGGTGGTGACTTGGTGACCCTTGCATGAAGTGAGCCTGGGATTTAAGTCTAACTCCCAGAGGCTGTCAGCTCTGACCCAGCCACCTCCTGGGGCAGATGCCTATGTCCCAACACTTCCCCACATATCGTTAGCTCTAACTATCATCTGGCTGGCAGTCCTGTTCACTGTGCATTGCAATCTCTCTCTATTGCAAGTAGTAGGGGTGGAATAACCTCCTCTAGCATTGCATCGGCCTCTGCAGGAGGCCCATGCTCATCATTCCCCCAAGGGCACATGTATCATGTAGTAGCCAAAAGGCTGAGAACAAGCAGTGCAAATTACCAAACCCAGGGGAATCAGACCCCTGTGAGAATAGGCGCAGTTCGGTATTTACAGGGAGGTTTTTGTAACGATAACTAATGATGCTGTTGTTAACGACAGCCTTTTCCAGTGATGCCGCAACATTTATATTAATAACACTGCTGTGGCTGCGACATCATAAATAGCCTGATTAAGTCCTGAGCAGCTGCCAGGTATATACAGTGGCCTTGTGTATGGGCACCCGTTGATTATTAGCTGCTAATCAGGCTAAAGAGGGCTGCGATTAGTAAGGCAATAAAGCTCTGAGTTATAAATGTTTCTTCTGGGCTGAGGGAGGAGTGAGCTGGGCTGAGGGAGGAGTGAGCGACACTGGGACTGAATTGATTTTGTGGCTTTGTATCAATTCAGTGGCAAGAAACTGGCCAGGACCCTCGGGCTGGGACTTCTCTGTGCCCATCTCTAAGACCCATGTCAGGATTTGGTGCTGGGTATTGTACAAGCATAAAAGTGCCTCAGAGAGCTTACCATCAAAGTGTGAAGAAAGCCCAACAAGGAGGGGAGTGGTATGAAATACATCAGGGTGGGAGAAAAACAAAGGAAGCAGGCGCACAAGGCAGAGGCTCACTAGCCAGCAGTATGTTTAAGGGAAAAGCTGGCCTTGGGATGGAAGGTACTGGATTTGGGGCTAAAGGGTTGTTGGGTCAACATGAGTTTCTGCCACAGTCAGACTGCCTGTGTAACCTTGGGCCATACAGCCTCTGCTACTTAGCCACTCTGGGCTTTGGGTCCCCAGTCACAAAAAGGTGGAGAGTCATGCAGCCCAGAGTACTTCCCACCTTGTAGCAGGGGACTACAAGCTCCTCAGGCAGGAGCTTCCTCTCATCCTGTGTCTATGCAGCACCCAGCACTGGGGGCCCCTGACCCCTGATAAAGACTCTAGGTACCACCTTAAAACTAATGACAAGAGAAGTGAAGTTCCTCACAGCACAGGTGTCCCTCGGCTATTAGCTGTAACTTAGCAAAGAGGGGAACCACAGCTCTATTAGGATATCATTGGGCAGGAACCATCTTTCTGTCTTGTGTTCATACAACTCCCAGCACCTGGTCCATGTCTGGGCCCCCTGTAAAGATGATAAATAATAGCTAATCTCAGTGGGACTTTGCCTCTGGCTTCTGTAAAGCCAGGACTCTGTCTGAGGTTTTTTGCTGCTGTGCATATTGTTCAATAACCCACAGTCATTCCAGAGGCCCCGCATACTCATTACTGGAGAAACAAGCCAGTACAGACTTTTACCTGGACAACAGCCCTTCGCCTGATGCCAGACTTCACCTGGCCCCAGGAATTAGCATCCTCGGTCATCTGCCACGAAACCAATGAGCCTCATGCCATACCTCTTTCTGTGGCCACACAGTAGGAGAGGGGCCCTTTGCTTCCCCTCCCTTCAGCTCACTTTGATACCATGTCTAAGGGCAGCTTTTCAAACCAGAGATAACTACCATAGTAAATGAAGCATCTGCTTTGAGCTCAGCATGCCAGATAACAGCCTGACTGTCCCACTAGGACTCGGCCTCCTCCGTCCAACAGAAAGGCAAACAGGAAGAGTATCTCCCCCCAAAGTGGCAGATGCATTAAAGCTAATCATGGCTTCTTATGTCAGGGATGGTTCTGATGAGTCACAGATCAAAGTGCTAGTGGGAAAGGCCCTTGGGTACGCTGGGGTTTGCCAGGGTCGACTTGCAGATGGAGCGTGGCTGGGTTGGCCTTGGTGATATGGGGAGGGGATCTGGGCAGCAGGATTTTGAGGCTTTGGTGTTGTTCCAAAGCTGAAAGTCCTTCAACTAACAGGATTGCTTCTCCCTGTGCCCATTCCCTTTTCATTAGTCCAAGCCAACAGCCTTCTGGCGCTGAAGGAGCCAGATGCCGAATGCAGCAGTCTCATGCTGACACCCACCTCAGAGGAGTCCTCAGCTGAGCTGCCCAGCAGCATCCCATCCCTGGTCTCCCCACCTGTTTCAGAGCTGTCAGAGGGTGCTTCGGATGCCACCAGTGTGGCCTCTTCAGCAGCGCAGGGTGCTGAGCCCCAGGCAACAGAATTGGCCAGCAGTGTGAGCTCAGCCCCTGACAGTGAGAAGGACGGGAAAAAGAGCAAGCCGCACCTCTACTGTCCCACCTGCAAAGTGACCGTCAACTCCCTGTCCCAGTTGGAGGCCCACAACACTGGTAAGCGGCTCATCGCTAGTATGACCATAACTATACATACCTACTTCTTGTGGACATAACTGTGATGAAGAATGCCCTCATGTCACTTTACTGGAGTAGATAAGCAGGCTGGTTTATACAGGACTGGACTCCTGGTTTCTATTCCCAACCCCATGACAAAGCACAGTTCAGTGGTCAGAATAGGGTCAGTGGAGAATCAGGACTCCTGGGCGCTCTTTCTAGCCATAGAAAGAGTGTTTTAGTTTAGGGGTTAGAACATGACTGGGAGCCAGGACTGTTGGGGAATGTGGCCTAATTGATAGAAGAGGTTAGGGTCAAAGACAGGACTCCTGGGTTCTGTTCTTGATTCATCCTCTGACAGGCAGCATGACCTGAAGCATGTGACTGTCCCTTCACCTCACTGTGCTTCAACCTCCTGTTATGTAAAATAGATCAGGGCAAACCCTAATGGGTGGTTATGAGGGTTAATTAATAATGCTTTATGCAAAGGGGTTAGTTCATGTGACCTTCAAGTAGAAAGTCAATGTATCCATTCCATAACTGAAAGGTTGAATTTTAGCAAGGATAAATTTGCCTTTATTGTTACATCTCTTAATTAAAAGACATTTTCAGGCACGTTTAATCAAGTGATTGGAAGCTGCTTTGCATTCCTGGCAGCCTTCCTTTAGGCTGAAAAGGAACTGAAGGGGAAAAGCCTTCTACAGGCTCCTCTTCCTAGACCCAGGGCAGCATTTGAAAAGCACCCATTGCAAGGGTTACCTTAAGTCCCATTTTCATAAGTGATGTTGGCAGTTAATGAGACCTGCTCTCTGATTCAGCCACTTAGGCACCTTAAAAAGTTAATGCCAGAGCTCCCCCTCATGTCCTACACAAGCCAGGCACTCTCTCTCCTTTTGGCCGTGGTATGTTATTCACCTCAGAAAAAAAATGCACATAGAAACTGAGGGGGAACATGAGCTCTTTGGAGCAGGGACATTCTTTGCTCCAATTATACAGTGCCCAGCACAAGGAGGATTCATATGAAGACTAATGAACTAATCTGTTCAAGAACCCTGTCTCTATCATGTGCAGAACGTTAGAGCTGCAGGTCAGGACCAGCATTCTGTCTCTCATGGATCGGGGGTTATGAGATGTAATTAGATAACACTTGTAAAGCACTTTAAATGAGAAAAATAGGCCCTGATATAAATTCCTCCTTCTCCTTTAGTACGTGGGAGGCTGAGAGCTGTCGATAGGCAGGCAGACGCATTGTGTTATGCAGGCAGCATTCAGGTTGTCACATGGAGAATCAGCTTCTTATGGAAAGTGGAAGAGTGGCAGGTGATAGATCTCTTCCTGTACGTGAGTTTGGGGGCTGCTGGCAGTGACACTTTCTGAACTTTGGAGGATAGGGACCTACCTGGGCTCTTAAAAATAAGGAGCAAGATCCAACTTACCTGGGCAGGTTGCAAGGTCTGGTTTGTTCCTGGAACACTGGGCTATGCTGCAGCCAAGGAGGAGAATGCAGTACTGGTGACCCCCAGTGGCTTTTGCATCCTCTGCAGCCCTGTGCTGCTCACTGAAAATGTTTCTTCCTGTCCATGATGGGTAGGAAATACAGAGACTTCCTGCACCCTCTTTTAAAGCAAAAGACACTCACATTCTGTGAGAGCTGGAAATGAATCCTCCCCCCAGCCCCACATAACCTCTGAGTTATGGCCATGCTGGGCCATACAGCTTCCTGCACATCACAGAGGTCACGAACAGGAAAGGCAGCAAAGGGCAGAACCTCAGGCCGAGCTACAGAAGTGGCCTTTTGCCTTGATTGGCTCAGATTACAAAGTTGGAGATTTATTTGGGGAGGAAAAGAATGAACAAACAAACAACTGCTGTAGCAGTGGCACCAGAGGTAGCGTCAGTGGGGTTGCTGGCTGTTTCCTGCCATTTGCTAATGGACGTATGTTGTCAGAACATAAGAAGTGCCATACTGGGTCAGACCAATGGTCCACCTACCCTAGTAGCCTGTCTCCGACCTCCTGGTCAGCCTCCTCATGGCCCTTGCTAAGTTGGCCATCTATCTGACCAGGAAGGAGGTTCTGGCCTAGAAGACCCCCCGTGGCTGGAGCCATCTTTCTGCCCTGGATATTCATGTCTCTGGGTAGAGTATCACTGATCAGTATCCATTGGCTCCCTGGACTTGTTTGAGGGCCAGTAGACACTGACCAGTGTGCTCTGCTTAGTGTCCTCCCTTGGAACACTTGTTATTAACCTTTGGCTCTTGCTCCTCTCCCTGTTTTTGC